GCCATCAGGGAAATGCAAATTAAAACAACTCTGAGATACCATCTTACTCCTGTCACAATGGCTAAAATCTAAAACACCAATGACAGTTCATGTTGGAGAGGATGTGGAGAAAGGGGAACACTTCTCTACTGCTGGTGGGAGTGCCAACTTGTACAACCACTTTGGAAATCAGTATGGCGACTCCTCAAGAAAATGGGAATGAGTCTACCACAAGATCCAGCAATTCCACTCTTAGGCATATACCCAAAAGAAGCAAATTCATACAACAAGGACATCTGTTCAATGATGTTCATAGCAGCACTATTTGTAATAGCCAGAAACTGGAAGCAGCTTAGATGCCCCTCAACAGAAAAATGGATAGAGAAAAAAATGTGGTACATTTACACAATAAAGTACTACTCAGCAGAAAAAAACAACGGAATCTTGAAATTTGCAGGAAAATGGATGGAACTAGAAGAAACCATTCTGAGCGAGGTAACCCAATCACAAAAAGACAAACATGATATGTACTCACTCATATGTGGATTTTAGACATAGAGTGAGGTTTTACCAGCCTACAATCCACACTGCCGGAGAAGCTAGTAAACAAGGAGGACCCTAAAAGAGACAAACTTTGTCCCCTGGAGAAGGGGAAAGTGTCATGATCCCCTGAGCAAATTGAGAACATGGGAAGAGGGCAGGGAGCTAGGAGAATGAGACAGGAAGAAAAGGTAGGATGCAAAGGTCATGAGGGAGCAGAAAGTGGTGGGTGGATGGGGTGGGGGCTAAGTTGGGGGGGGAGTGGTGGATGGATGGATGGGGTGGTGGGTAAGTTGGGGGTGGGGGAGGAGGGATGGGGGTAAGAGGAAGGAGAGGGAGAAGGGACTTACATGTGAAACAAGCTTGTTCCCTAACTTGAACTAATAAATAAATTTTAAAAAAAGAATGTTTTAAAGTATAAAAAGAAGATTAAAAAAAGAACAGACCTGTTACTCATTTACCCATGACTGGGATGATCTTGATTTTCCCTTCCATGGAGCACTGGAAGGGCCCCAAAATAGTGAAGTCTAATGCCTCATTGAGAATGAGAGTAGCTTACAAAGAGTTAAATGTACTTGGGATTTTCGTTCAACCTGCTCTACTGCTCATTCTTATTCAAAGTGATGCATTCTTTCATTGTTGTAGTAATAGCTTCTTAATATTTTATTAATATCCTTAACTACCAAATTCCAATATCTACTAGCTTCTGCAATACTAGGTTTCCATATGGACTTCAAAAGACTTTCATGTTAGTAAAGCTGTACTTTTACCCTTTTTTCTCCTAACTTCCCACACCTTCACATCACTTAATGTCTTACCACCATTATTCTTCTCCTTAATACCATCTCTATTTTACTATCTCTTCCCAGTCTTGAAATCTTGCCATTCATGCCATAGGCCTAGTACAGTTTCTTAAATTATAAAGGTACTTCACTCTAAGCACACATGTTAAAGACTGCAAGATAGGGAGCTGCTACATGCACTGTTCTTGCAGCAGACCTGGGTCTGTTACTGGGTCTCAGCACCCAGGTTAAAACTGCCTATGGCTCCAGCTCCAGGGTGATCAAACTCCTTTGGCTTCTGTGTGCACCTTCACTCACCTGTATATACCTGTATCCAGACACTCACATATACACATAATTACAAAATAATAAAATAAATATAAAAATTTAATGCTAGGATCCATATATGAGAAAGAACATCTGACATATGTCTTTGTGGGGCTGCGTTACATAACTAAGAAAGATTGCCAGCAGTATCCATTCTACTTCAAATTTTATTATCTTTACAACTGACTACAAACTCAGTATGTATATATACCACATTTTCATTATCCAGTCATCAACTGATAGTCATCAACTAAACCATTTCCACTTCTCATTTATTGTGAATAGAATGGCAATAAATATGAATAAAGAAGTATGTATGTAACAGGGTTTGGGGTCTTTGGGGTATATACATGGGAGTTGTATGGCTGGGTCATAAGGTACATTTCTATATTTTAGATGAATCTCTACATCAATTTCCATAGTGGCCACACTATACACTATACTACATTTTCATTAATGTTGGAGACACCATTTTGTACACTGTGACTCAAACTGAGTTAAAAAAGAAAGAAGAAATGAAGCAACCTTGTACATCTCTCTGTTTCTTGATTGTGGAAGTGATGTGACAAACCATCTCACAACCCCTGACAGAGTGAACTGTGTCTACATGAAATATAAGAAATTTCCTTAGAAAGATCACTCTTGTTAGGATCAAAGACCTTAAGAGTTTGAAAGAATTTGTAAAAAAAAATCATTGCTCATGAGTCATTAGTCTTCATTGTCTTGAGGCATTACCCCGGGACTGTCTTGGTACAGGAAGTTAACATTGTACTTGCCAGGAATAATTCCATCTTCATCTACAGAACTTGGGTTCTTATGCATGACTGGCTCTAGGCTAGTCCTATGGCTGCATCCTGTTTATCACCCATATCTGTCTTCTGAGAAGACTAAGGGTTTTGTGAACAACAGTAAAAATAAAAGGTTCTAAACATTCAAATTAAAAGGCTCTAATTTCACATGAACACTTAATTTCCTGTCATTAGGTGATAATCTTCATTTATGGTGTGTCATGTTTCCCATCATGACAAACTACCTAAAATCTATTATCTTTCAGTACAAAATGTACACTACATAATGTGTATAGTAGATGTGATCTAGCTTTAACAAATTCATTTCAGCAGAATGTGTTTGTCTCTCTCTCTCTCTCTCTCTCTCTCTCTCTGTGTGTGTGTGTGTGTGTGTGTGTGTGTGTGTGTAATACATGTGTGTATACATAACAATATTAATTGAAGAACAACAGGTCATACATTTGAGGAGTTTGCAGATAAAGATGGCAAAGGTCAAGGG